AAGTCAGACATGTCAACATCGCACGTGACACCGACCGCTCGCTAAAACGGCACGCGACGCACTGAGAGAGGAGACGGGTCGACAGGATCGAAAGTCAGACTTTGTTTATAATCGGCAGATATGCCTTATTAAGACCCTCGGTGTCAGTCTGTAAATTAAGACTGTTCTTCTGTTTTTTAATATGTAGCATCTCCGAAATCAAACGCTTTCTATACGAAAGCTCCTCGTCTAATATCAGAACATTGTCCCATTGAAAATCGTGATTGTGACTCAACCTATGATCGGTGATGACAGAGCGGGCAGAAGCTTTATGTCTAATATGATTACGATGTTCGGCAATCCTGGTTTTTAATTGCCTGCCCGTCTGTCCAACGTAAGAAGCGTCACAATCATTACATAAAATTTTATAAACAATGTTGCTTTTCGATGTGCTGGGACAAGAATCCTTCTGGACTCTTATGTATTTGCCCATTTTGTTAGGGCTGCGGAAGGCCATCCTATCACTTTTGCTTTTATTCAAAGATCTAAGTTGAAGATTTTATCACTGACCGGTGATAAAATTTTCAATATTAAAATATTACTCCAGATAACCAAGTGTGCGATATCTCACGAAACTCGCATAAAATATCGCTATCGTACTATTACTGTACTGCCACGAGGTTGCGGTGTACGGCGTAACTATATGGTAGCAGTACAAAAAGTGTACATTATAGTACAATGTATTAACACTGTACATGTACTACATACTGATTGTTCCGATCAATCTGCCATTACCGCATACGATTGGCCGTGCCTTGTCATTGGCCTGTCGACGATACCCTTTCGGGATTGGGTGAATTGCGATAATGGAGTAGAAGGGGAGATACGTAGTGATGTGTTTGTACAAGACACAGTCCGTTACCAGACTTGACAATAAAAGGATCTCGTTAGTTAATATCGTTGTACACGGCATTAGTGTTATGCGCCCTTTCTTTCCAAGGAGTTCATAGATTATCCCTCCTTTGCATTGATTCTGACAATATTCCCTACCCTTTTGAAACGTTACGATTTCGGAAGTTATACACGTGTTCGTGTTGCTGTCTTACAATTTAGTTAAACTGGACAAATTTCTATCAGGACCATATATTGAATAGATGTATCATAGCTATACATCCATAATTATATAGGTATTCGTATCATTGAATGCATCGGTTTCCATACGATTTCAGAAGTCAAGGATAACGCATGGCAGTATGTAACCGGATGAATGACCGCTTCGCAGCACTATAAAATTAGTTCCCGAATTTAGGGAAAAATTTTTTTAATCATAATTTTATGATGTGCATTCTGGAATAAGATATTAATCAATAATACCAGGTGCACAAGTATGAAATGCGGATTTGAGAAAACAGATGGCGCATCAATGCAGTGTGTGGTATAAAGATTTGACTGTTATGCCATTTTGAAGTGCCATCAACAAGTGTCAGACGCGCACGAGTGATAAATTGAAAAAGTGTTTGCATAGTGTTGTGTTGCTGTGTTCGATATGTTGAAATTTATACCAAACAAAGAGCATTCGCGGACAGCATTAATTTTTTGTTTTCATTTGAAGAAAACTGCTGCTGAATCATACCGATTACTTCGAGAAGCTTATGGTGAACATGCTCCATCGCAAGATACGTGTGAACGATGGTTTCGGCGTTTTAAAAGTGATGACTTCGATGTTGCAAACAAGGAACACGGAAAACCGCCAAAAAGGTACGAAGATGTGGAATTGCAAGCATTGTTGGACGAAGATGATTCACAAACACAAAAACAATTCGCAGAGCAATTGAGCGTTAGTCAACAAGCTGTTTCCAATCGCCTACGAGAGATGGGAAAGATTCAGAAGACCGGAAGATGGATACCGCATGAGTTGGACGGCAGGCAGATGAAGAGGCGCAAAAATTTTGCTTGCACGATACAAAAGGAAGTCGTTTTTGCATCGTATCATTAGTGGGTATGAAAAGTGAATTTATTTTGAGAATCCCAAGCGCAAAAAATCATGGGTAGACCCAGGCGCACCATCCACATCGACCGCAAGACCGAATCGCTTTGGCAGAAAGACGATGCTCTGTGTTTGGTGGGACCAGAAGGGTGTGGTCTATTATGAGCTGTTAAAACCTGGTGAAACGGTTAATGCTGGACGCTACCAACAACAATTGATCGATTTGAACCGTTCGCTGCTTGAAAAAAGACCAGAATACCAAAAGAGACAACACAAAGTCATTTTTCTTCATGACAATGCTCCATCACATACGGCAAAACCGGTTCGCGACACGTTGGAAGCACTCAGCTGGGAAGTTCTACCCCACTTGTTTGCATCGATGGGTCACGCACTTGCTGAGCAGCGGTTTGGTTCGTACGAAGATGTGAAAAAATGGCTCGATGAATGGTTCGCGGCAAAGGGGGAAGATTTTTATTGGCGTGGTATCCACAAATTGCCCGAAAGATGGGAAAAATGTGTAACTAGCAATGGAGCATATTTTGAATAAAGCTCTTTTTATCATTCTTCCGAATTTAACGTGTTTTTTTTTGGAAAAAAATCCGCATTTCATACTTGTACACCTGGTAATACTCATTCTAGCAATAAAACTATAAAATTAATGTACCATTGAAAACATTACTAGCCAGTGATAAAATATTACCATTGGCAAAAATTCATTCAGCTTGCTATAAAATACTATTGAAAACGTCATTCATTTTCAATGAGTTTTTCAATATGATGATTTTAATAATAAAATCATCTGTTTTTTTGCAACGGGAAAATACATCTTCACCTTTCTATAGTTTGCTGGACATCAAAGTGCGAGCTTCAGAGTTGCTGATAGATTCAATATCTCTTTTAATATTCTTGAATCAATGTTACGGATGGTCACACAGTTTTTATACGAAATGAGGAATGAAGTTATGTGAGGCAGACAAGCAAAGAACGCAAAGACACTATTTCGAAAATAACGATTTTCCAGGAGTAATTGGTAAAAATCTGAATTTTCTTCGATGTATTTAATATGGATTAATATATTTGTAATCTAGTGTGTAATGTTAACTCATTTAATGTGTTTCTTTTCGGTTGCAGCATCTATTGATGATTCACATATCGATAAATCTTCTGAAAATTCAGTGGTCTACATCAACAGAAAGCATTATTTCTCTATACACATGCAGGGGACAGTTAATGAGAAGAAAAAGTTTTTAGATGTGTTTGTTGGATATCCTGGCTCAGTGCATAATGCGAGGGTACTTCTAGTTTGGCTGAAGACTTGCCAGCACTTTGTCAAGGTATAAACGCATTCGTCAGTTATTGTATTGTAATTATGTTTTGATTAAATACCTTTGCTTTTCAATTCCGTTAAAATACATGAGTACGTATACTTTATCACACATTTAGGCTGGTATTCCGTGAACAGAAATTAATAGCGAAACAGAACAGCATGATCAATCATAACTCTGCAGTCATTACTCTGTTTTCTTTTCTGCGATTGTGATTGATCGCGCTTCGTCCTGCTGTAAATTTCGGCTTCATGGAGTGTCAGCCTTAATCTTTGTTGTTATTTTCAAATACAATTTTATTTCAGATGGAAGCATATTTCTTGGTGAATACTCCTTATCCATGCCTGCCTTAATTAATTACTCCATATCGAGATAACGGACATTTAATGCAGGCTCAAAGAAATTTTAATCGCACAGCCAGTGCAGAATCTCCGTGGAGCATGGATTTGGAGAGCTGAAACAGTGCTTCAGACAAATATATTTTCTCAAACTGAGAAATATGGAATTTATTGTTAAATTCATCCTGGTTTGCTGCATCCTTCACAATTTGACTTATTGTTAGATCTGAAATACATGGAAGAATCCGAAGAACCTGAAGACAAATATATTGATATAAATGCACAAGCGTTGTTACACCATCTGGTAGCAGAAAGATCTGAAGATCCAATTGATGATCGATGTGGTCGCGATCTCAGAGACGAACTGTGTCGACAACTGTTTCAAAGGTAACTGAACAAGTAAAAGTATATTAAAATAATCTTGCGTTTTAATTTGTAATTAGTAGCGTGCAATTTGAGAAAATAAATATTTTCAAAAAAATTTTATAACCTAATAAATATTTCAAACGAAGTCAACATTATGACTTAATATAAACGCAACAAATATTTTTAAAGTTTTATAATTCACTTAATAGTTCTTTTTCTATTAAATAAACATTTAAAACAAAATCAACATTTTCATAAACTGTAATCAATGTTTTCAGTCTTTATAATAATAAATTTCTTATAATAATTCTTCATTTGATAATTCTGTTTGCTTTGAGTATATTTTTTTTCTATTCTCTCTAGTAGCTGAAGTTGCTTTTACAAGATAATATTATAATATTTAACTCTTTTTGTAATTCATTACATTTTTGAAGCTCTATCAACATTTTTGTGCGTGCATTTTGTTTGACATCACCTTCTTTTTTAAATATAGTACAGATTGATTCCTTAACTGATTGTAGAGTAAGTGCCAATTTGCCATCTCATACTTTTGCTTTCATATTTATGAAAGATGAACAATTGCTACTTGTTGTGTATGATTTATTGCTATTCGCTGATGATGAAGGTTTGTTGCTAATCGTTGATAGCGAAAGAGGCGAATGTACTTCGATAGAAAACTGTTCTTCATTTACATTCTTATAACAAAAAACATTAACTATTTATCTGAAGAAATGCAGTTTGAAAAAACATTCATCTTAAAGAGATAATTATTATCAGGGATAAAAAGTCACTTTGTTATTACTTTTATAAAAAATGATTTGGTAATGATATTGCAATTTTTTATAATGGTAACAATAACTAATTAAAAGCTAAGGTTAGGAATCACTTTGGAAAAGTAATTTGTCATTATTATGCATTATTTGTTGAAAAAAATAACTCATTTTTTCAATAAATATATAAAATGAGGTTCGAAAGAATCTATCAGTGAAAAATGTGAAAAAATTCATCAGACCCTACATCAGCTGTTCGCACAGAAAATTCTTTATTTTCGTGTGAATGTAATAAAACGAATAAAATAAACGTTTCGATCCTTCAATTCGGATTTTTATTAATATAAAATATAAATAGAAATTACATAAGTAACACAAAGTTGATGATTCCCGACAATTCAGTTCGTTCTTCTTTATCCAAATGCCAAATTAGCTATGTAATGACTAGCCCAATGATTATCAAAAATATTAACTTATACAATAATAATGTAAAAACTTACATCAAGTAAAACCAAAGTCATATACATTGCGTCAATAGAAGTAGAATCACATCACTCATCAGATTGTCACATTTGCTATGTAATCATTCAAAAGAAACATGAAAAGCGAAAAATTAGAGAATTATTAAAATCATTTATCTAAATTTTAATTATATCAACTTACATGTAAACGTTTTCTCGCGACTCGATGTAAAGGTTTCGACAGAAGATAAAATAAACGTTTTGATCTTTAAATTCGGGTTCTTATCAATATAAAATATAAATCGAAATTATATACATGAGAGTCAAAATAATAAAGTCATGTTATTGAAATAAAAATAAAAATAAGAACAAAAGGGGGTAAAAACAACGTCATAATTCCATAAACAAATTCATATATAGGGGTCTAAAGAATACGTATCATTCTATAAATTCAAACTCTGTTTCTGTTGCTTTATATGAATCGCTTCCGAAATCAGACTTTTATTAAGCATCCTTTCCTCGTCTAATATTTTGACATTTTCCCAATCAAAATTATATGGATGACTAATTTTGTGTTCTGTTATTACGGAATGCTGTGTAGTGTTTCAATTTATGTGATTTCTATGTTCATTTATGCGCGTCTTCAAACATCTATCTTTTTGGCCCACTTTTAAAATTTTTTGATCTTTTCTGATAAAAGTGATATAAAGGAGATTATAAGGGAGTTTTGTTTACATTCACACGAAAATAAAGAATTTTCTATGCATCCGAATAGCTGATGTAGGCTCTGATGGACTTTTTTACATTTTTCATTTTTTCAATAAATAATGCATAATGATAAGTTATTTTTTGAAAGAGATTTTTCCAACTTTAGCTTTTAATTAGTTACCATTACCATTATAAAAAAATTGCAACATTATTACCAAATTATTTATTATAAAAGTAATAGCAAAAATAATTTCCAATCCATAATTATTACTTACTCAGATGAAGTTTGACTGACTTTTTGCAAAATCTCTTGTTGAGAAACAATTTCTTTGCGACCAGCCACAAAAGGTGACATTCCACTGTGATTTTTTCCAAATATACTTATCATTTCACTGCAAGGACAAATATATATCCATTAATTATTAATTATTCATTATAATATTATAATCCATTAATTATTCATTAAATATATAGGATACAGTGAAAATAACACAAAAGAAAAAGAAAAATACTCAGTAACTTAATTAACTGTAAATATTCAGTTAAAAAATATTATATTTACAATAAAGCCTGTAGTACATAATGTGTTTTCTGTCAATTGTGTTTCAATAAATTATTAGAAGTTCTGTGTTCTGTGTAGAACAATTTCAGTAATTTATTAAAACGCAAGCATTTCAGTAGAAAAAAATATATCGTGTGTCAGTCAGATATAGAAAACAGAAAACTAAAAACTTACTTTTCATATAAAAGAACTTTCATGCCTCTTCCAGAACTAGTTTTTCTCATAGTCCTTTGAATGTATTTGTCCCATTTTTTCTTCAACAATTTAAATTTATTTTTTATGTAATGTTTAACAGCATTTACGTAACTCTTTTTTTTCAAATGACTCTATTGCTTGAAACATAGCCTCTTTACTTTGATACTTTCTTTTCTGCAGCTTTTTTCATGCTATTCATATTCTGTGAAAAACAACATTGTAGTTTTATGATCCCAAATAAAATGGCCATCCTTGTTGAAAACAGAAGTATTTTTTTGTCATCATCTGAATCTATAATCGAAGAATCCAATGAAGGCACAATTGCAGGTATGTGCTGCATAGAGCTTATTGTAGGAACTGTAATAAAAGGAAATCTCATGAGTTACAGTCTGAGTCTGGATTTTGAAAGAACTTGACTTATTCAATAATTCAAATTCAATGGTACACTTGTAAGATAATGTGTGTGCGAGCCTATTGTGGGAGTTACAACAGAAGAAGGGGCAAGAGTTTGGAACTTAAATGATATCGTTTTAGGTATTATTTGCATGCCCAAAATTTGCAGATGAAATCTTTGGAATTGTGAAACTTGTTGTTGAAGAACTAGAACTTGTAGGATGTATCATTGTAATTTTTTAATTAGCTTTATTAATGGTTTCTTTTGCTGCAGATTACTATATACTATAACAAGAAGATCATTAATTATAGTACAGCATTCATTATTATTATACAATTATTATTATATTATATTAATAATAATTATTATTATACAAGAACTACTACAATTATTAATTACATAATAAAAATATTACGAGGGTAAAACTCATTCTACAATGAGTCGGTAGTCGGTAGTCCTAAGTCTTATCGATGAATCGGTGGAGTTGGCCAACTTGTATGACTAAGACTATCGATTTTCTTAAGACTGACCAAATTCGACTTTATTCTTTCCCATTAATCAAATCATTAGCTAAACGACTCGCTGTACAATTAACAATTAGTAGATGCAAAAAATCATAGTCACTTATTTAGATTAAAACTGGTTAAGACTTAAAATTTCTGACTACCGACTCATTGTAGAATCAGCATAATGCTCAAGAATTTTGTCTTCCTCACCGATTTTGAAATTAAGCTGTGTTTTTACATGAAACAAACAAATCTGCCAAAAAAAGCGTCGCTCTGCCTGATGGACCGAAGATTAATTTAAAGTTGACTACAGAACATAGGTTAAGATATCTGTAAGAACCATGAAATACTTCTCTCAACACTACACATTCTCAATCATTACGCATAACGTACTCCAACTGCACCACCTTCAGAGGTAAAGTAAATGGAGCGTGCTCTTAATTGCTCTTTAGAGTATGCTCTAATGCGCCGCGAACATCTAGTCGCCATATTGGTTCCGGTGACGCGAACGTATTGGAGCGTGTTGGAACAAATCTTAAACATCCTGACGTAATATTATTTATAATATGGAATCGATAGCAAAAGTGGAAGAAGATGAAGCAAACACTTTAACAATGAAAAGCTAGATGACGTCACATACTACGATTGTTTGGAATATGGAAAGTAATGGTATATCAAGAGGAAGAAGTTCGTCATAGAATGTGGATGCGCCCAATACATATTCACAATAATTGTTACGGGGTGCCTATAACCACCTGGTCAAAGAAATGCAATTAGTAGATCATGAAATGTTCCCCTAGTGAAAATTTTTCTTATAATTTTTATACAAATTGGAACATTTTTCAGAAATACTCAGAAATATTCGGAAAGTTTACATTTTCTCTCAGAATTTTTCATACAAGTAAATTCTAAAATATTTTGAAATTTCTCATCCCATAATTTAAAAAAAATATAATTTTAAATTTTTTAGATTTTATAACATTTCATCAGAAATTATCTGATCCGTGTTATATCCCGACAAAACCCTCTATTTTTTTATTATAAATATACGATTTATCTTATCTTTAGTTTAGTATCTCTAGTTTAGGTTTTGTAGCCGTCCCTTTCTAGGAAGGGCCTATTCGGTTCCTCTTCTCGTAAACACTCGAAGCAAACAGATAGCTCACGCTCGTACGCCTTATGCGTCACGTAGACAAAATACATCTAACCGATAATCTTTTCCGTTGAGAGCCTTTATCCAGAAAAATGTCAAACAATAGTATGTCAAACATAGTAAAAATTAAGACCTTCCAACTGCGAGGACGAATCTTTTATTTTTTTCCTTTTATTAATGAAACTAAAATCTATTCAAGAATTACGAAGTATAAGATATAATATGTATTTTGACGGTAACGGTTTAAAATATGTATTATTATAATATAATCTAGAATATGTCATCGCATTTCGCCTCGCATAAGGATATTAGTTAAGTAAGACCG